ATTTATTTTCTCAGTATATATATGGAATATAATCTATAACATCGGGAGAGAGAAAAAAAATAGTAGACTTTATACCTTTTAGTAAAATATCAAAATTAGAAAAAAAAAAAAAAGAGCTCAAGAACAGGCACTATTATTACACGTTAGCCTTGCTTCACTTTCCTAATTAGTGGTCCAAGCATAGAAAACTTATTATAGAAATAGTAAATTTCTCCTCATAATTATGAGATTTTCATAATGTTTATTTCCTCTCGTTTTAATTATCATGACCAACTTTTACGGTTTCGATACTTTATGAACCTTGCACCATTAAGAAGCTTCAATATTATAGGTGTGAGATTTAAAAGGCGAATTGGGGGAGGTTTGAGACCACTGGTGCCTCAAATTACGCGGGCTTTCTGTTCTCTCAATCATTTTATCATTTGGGCCGGGGATATTAATAGGCATGAAAAGATTGATTCTCGAAGCGTTAGGTATGATAAATAGGTCATGACCACTCATTTTTTTGTAACAGTAATAAAAAACGGTCAAATCACACAAGGAATAGCAATGTGACTCATAGGCGTTGCGTTGGTCGTCCTTCTCGAGTGAGGGTGAAGATCTAGGGTATTTGAAAGGAACATGCCCTCAAGGTCTGCCTAGACTCCATTTAGGCAATCATCGAACTAAAACATGTTATATTAAGTGAGTTCATATTTCTTTTTGTTAGTCTATAAACAATCCAAAAAATAAGCCTTGGATTTGCTATCTACTATAGATTGACCAAATCCAAGTTCCAATATCGAATAAAAAGAGTGATTATGTGATAAAATACTCATTGGTCGAGTCACCATATTGCTACAATTATTAAATGATATTAGTTATTATGTTTATTATAAATTACCCTAAAATTACTCGTAATTTATATACAAAATTATCATAATTAGAAAAAATATATAAAAACTCGCCTGACCAACTAAATTTAGTACATACCATACGTTTACCAACGCCGTGATGTGAAACTAGGTCAAGCGATGACAACAAGAGAACTAAATAATTTTAAAATTATATGATAAAAAAATATTTAGATATTAGAAAATAATTGAATGTATCAACCATTAAATTATAAAAAGTGAGGTGCAAAAGATAAATGCAAGTTTCTACTACCTAAAAACTAAATAGATATGACACTCAACTAAAAGATAAGCCTTCATATATGAAATAAATGCTACACCAAATTACTAGCAATGACTAGAAATGGATGGAGAAACCATCCTTAATGAATTTGCCTGGCTTGATCCATTCCCAGAATCTGAAATTTTGATGCTTCATTTTATTCTATATATCTTTGCTATTTTGTAAGCATGGTTCAGGATGTTAATCAAGAATTCACAGAGTTTAATGATTCTAGGATGTAACCTTTATTCATGATGTAATTAACAACTTTATGTTGTAATTAACCTTGCTATATATAACTCTAGGATGTAAATTTCGGGCGGCTGACTGCGGGCAGCTTTGGTGGGCACATGGGCAGCAGCGCATGCAGGGGGCAGGCAGGGTCTGGCAGCTCCGCAGGTAGCCGGGCAGGGGGGCGGGTAGGGTCGACCAGTCCACGGGGAGCCGGGCAGACATTTTAAACGGGTTTCCGGGTTGACCCGACAACCGATCGAGTCAACCCGAACCCGACTCGTTTTTCAAACGGGTCAAATTCTGGAACCCGAACCCAACCCGTTTTGGAAACGGGTCGGGTCTAACCTGAAATTTCTGGGTCGGGTTCAGGTCGGGTTTTCGTGTCGTGTCTAATGTTAACACCCCTAGATGTAATTAACCTTCATCTAGATAGAGGTGTGCATTTGATCGATTTAGTTTCTTTGGTTTACATATTAAAATATAAAAATTGAATAAAATTGAAAATCAAATAATGTCAAAATTATAATCAATAATTGAACTACTACTTTAACAAACAAACCTTCTTAATCAAATAAGATCGGTTTAATTCAATTTTCTTAGATTTAGATTTCGTCTATGACATATTTTTAATATTTTCAATATAGCTTTTTATTATATAAATTTTTGCACTAAAAAGATGATTTAAAAAGTAATAAGAAAGTTATACCAAATGAAATCATAATCAAATAATAAACACCTCTAACTCTAATCTAAGATCTTATAGAAGACGCCATTATTTACTTTATATATATAACATGTCACTCTTTGTTTTAATTATAAATTTTAAATATAAAAAAACGACCACCCAAATTATTTTTCAAGAATGAAATCAAACACTTTATTATTTCGATTCAATTGGTGATGAACTAAAATATATTTTTAACTTAAATAAACATATATTAAAAAAGTATCACAAATACCTTACTAAAAGTTGTAATTTTGGCATGTTAAATAAGTAAATAATATTCACATTAATATTTTTTACACTTATTTATTTACATCACTTTATTGATTTATAGTTTCAAGAAATTAATAAAACTTATTTTTTAATTTGATCGAATTTTAAATTTGACTCTTAACCGGACACAATGAAGAAAAATGATTTATATATTCAACCCTACATAGTGGGATAAAGGCTTATTTTTGTTGTTATTGTGTCAATTTTTAAACCACAAAAATAAAACAAATAAATAAAATCAAATAAAGTTAAAATTATAATCAATAATCAAACTAAGTTTTAATAACTAATTCCAACCAATCAAATAAAATCAATTTAAATTAATTTGTTAATTTTATATAAATAATTCATATATATCATGACATATATTTAGGGTTTAGGAGGAATATTTTTATGTGGTGCTAACGATTAAATAACTATTTTTGTAGCTCCAGAATATTTTAGTTTATGCTCTTACCTAGTATCTGGATATACCAAAAGAGATGTACGCTCTAATGAAGCTACTATGAAATATTTACTCATGGGTGGGGCAAGCTCTTATATTCTGGTTCATGGTTTATCCTTGCTATATGATTTATCTGGGCCAAAAGCTATCCCAAACGAAATCATAAATTTATCATTATCAACAAGAGAAAGATCATTAATCCTATGAGCTCCAAATTAAATGAATTTAATTTTAATGTTGCCTGGCGAATGAATGGCTTGATTCTTAGAGATAGAATGCAAAACCAATATATGCGTGGTAAGGTTAGATCAACTCCAGTGACAGATAAGATTAGAGAGTTGCCTTAGATGATTTGATCATATAAAACGTTAGCCTTTCAATGACTCGATTAAGAGATTAAATATTTGACTTGACATATGTTAAGAAAGATAGATACAAACCTAAAAAGACTGAATTAAAAAGTATTAGAAATGATTTTTTTTATTAAATTTAAATGAGTATTTGATGCTTAACAAAACACAATGAAGAAAAAGAATTTATATAGCTGACATTACGTAGTGAGACAAAGGCTTGATATTATTGATATTATTGTTGTAGTTGTTGTTGAACTATGCTATATTTTTTGTTTGTTCAAATCTAAGTGATTCATATGTTGCAGTTGCTTCATCTTTGCTAGGAAGTACAGGCAAAAATTAAAGCAAAAAAAACGATAAAAAATCAGGATATAAGACAGCTTGAACAGCTCTGAATATTTGAACCTGAAATGACAACTTTATTTTTGTACTGTGTTAGCTGATCTTGTGATATAGAAAGGGGCATACAAAATATTTAGAATTTATCTTACAAAGCATTAATTTTTACATCCAAACTAATTGTCTTCTTCAGAATATGCTAAGAGAGCGTTCAAATTAATAATGGTTATTATGCCGACCTTCAGATTCTCAAAGAAATGGCAAAGAAAGCAGATATTTGAATTCAAATTAAACAAATAAATTTGAGAGAGAGAGAGAGATCAGAGAGATAATATCTCTCTTTTTTTTGCCCTGCTATCCGAACTATGCGCACATATACCTGTAAATGATGAAAAAAATGTATAAGATGATTCGGTTCCAGCATTACATAGAAAAGCAGATCGTGAATAAGCAGATTTATTGCTTTACAAGGCATATAGATGATGCAAGCTGTTATAAACCACAACGAGTGTTGTGCAGAAGGCATTTGTAAGAAAGTAAAGTTTTCCTGTAGTGCTGTTTGGTTGGAGGTGGAAGTATATTGTATTCCATTTACAAGCATTTCAAACTTCTCTGCTATATTCAGCATGGAGCAAAAAGAAATACAAGGTGAAATTTTAGAGATTTAAAATCCTCCAAAAAGCCTATTTTCCTTGTATTTAGAAATCACCCAAATCGACCGATTTCCTAATTCGCCAACCGCCACCTCTTTTACTCGACACCTTCCCCATGCCCCCTCTCACATATCGTTGTCCCTCACCCATCACCTCATTCATCCCTGTTGTGTTCTTTGCTTATGTCTCTCACCCTCATCAATCGATCACATCCCTCACCCACAATTGAAAATTCAAATACGTTAGTCGTCACCTTGTTAGCTGATGCCTCCTCGCATATCGTTCCCTCGCCCATCGCCTACCTTGCATGCTTCATTCCACCATGACCCTCACCCTCCTCCATTGCCCCCCATCCATCGCTTACTCACCTAATGCTGCATTTTCCACCCATCACCGACCACGAGTGCACCACTCAACCACGACCCTCACCCTCATCCATCGTTCTCTCACCTCACGCCACCTCCATCATCATCTGCCCCACCCAAGTCCTTGCAATGTTTCATATAAGAGAGAGAGTCCTTGAAATGATACATAAGAGAGAAAAATATAGTATTTCAAATGCATCTTGACAAATGCAAAAAAAAAATAAAAATTATGCATTTGATTTACATTCAACCAAATAAATATTTTTAAAATGCATGCATTACAATTATTAGGCATTCCTAAATGTATAAAATATCCAACCAAATAGCCCCACATAAATTTGTTTCAAAAAGCCATATAGAGAGCATGTGATCAGCCTTAGTGAGTACATGTATATTGTGAAATAAACAGAAAAAAATTGGAAGAAGAAGAAGAAGAGAAAAAATGAGAGGAGAAGAAACACACAAACTTTTTCTTCTATTAATTATCTCATGCACACATTACAACTCTTTTATCTAAATTAGACATCACTTCACATACACCCTTTCACTTTCAAATGAAACATTGCTTCACACACCCTTTCACTTACAATTAACTACATTTAATTAAGAAAATAAACCACATCCACACAAATGAAAAGACACATCCATTCAAATAATATGATTAAATATTTTGAATTTATTAACATATATGACATTCTGTAGCTAATGAAAAGTGTAGGATTGTTTAATATACATATACTAATCTTGTCATGAAATTTGCTCGGTTGTACTATACATTTAGGCGGCCAAAATCTTGATTCAGTACTTGATCATCATAAGAAAAGAAACCAGATGAACTTTAAAATCCTACCTTAAGTCCCAGACAACAAGGATAGGATGGTAGCCGATGGCATCTCAACAATGGCAGTTAACTTCACTTGCTCAGTGTGATCTTATTGTAGTTGTAAAATTCATTATTATAAAGCGATACCTGAAATCAGACAAATACTAGGTTTAGGTAATAGATCAAAAAATGATCTTGTGAAATAAAGTATAACAATTTTAATGTAAGATGCCTAATTATCATCATTGATCCAGAAATTTATGTACACATTTTAGATTTATTTAATACATTAAGTTATCAATCTAATAGACAATTAACATTGAAAATTTAGGACAAAAGACATGTATTTGAACTAAATTTCAGTTCTTCATAATATTTATTTTACATTGTAAAGAATAACTGTTTAAAATTATCTTGCAAAAGAAAAAAAGAAATATCCAAAAGAATATCAATGACTTTCTTAGGCTCAATTTGGTTTAAAGTTAAAGAGAGGAAATGATGAAAGAATTGTTTTAAACTTAATTGTCATCCGCACATTAGGTTGAGGAGATTTCTTATTTACTCGTTCTAGGCCAAAGTTGACTGCAATTATTCTTAGAGCTAAAAAATTGGAGTTCTTTATTGTGGCTATCAACACAGAGAGAGAGTCGTCGGATCTCAGAACTTGAACTTTTGATGAAGCCACTTTCAAATTTACAAGTTCTAGGCACACTCTTTCCTTCTGGTTTATGGCCATAGCTAGAGGTGCCTCTTTTTTCAGTAATCTAAATCTCCGATATAGAAGGAAATAAATAACAAAACAGAAGCAATTTGATCCAGAATTTCAGCCAATTTGAGGAGAGATTTTATATCAGGAAATTATTCTCCACGCATCTTAATAATCTCTTAAGTAAATCGAACGAAACAGAAATGAAGAAGTATAACATATTTGCATTTCCTCCAATTCCTTCAAACCAAACATGACCACAAAGTTTGAGAATATATGCATATCTTAAGGCTAATCTTACACTAGATATGCTGAGCCAAACTTTCTCCTGCATTGGCATGCAAGATTATTAAATCTAAAGAAGAAAACAATACGTTTCAAGGCTTCAAGGTCCACCGCTTACAAAGCCTCACAAGGGAAAGAAGAAGGCAATGAAAAGAAATGGAGCAAATTCAGCTAAGAAAAACAAACAGGGAGACAACTCTCGGAACAGACTGTACAACTTAATCTAACTTGCGAACCGCCTAAGCAAATTACAAACTTAAGAAAATATCAAACTCGATCTAGAATTGATTCAAAATCCTGAATATTCATATAACCCATAGTTTCAATACGCAATGCTGATAGAATGTAACATACGCAAGTTATTCCACATTTATCACTCTGGTTGAGTTCTTATTGTCTGTTTGAATTGACTCAACACTTATTTCAAGTTCACCCAAAATTTTAAAGGTATAATTTTTAAAAATTTTTAATTTTAGCATCTGCAATGGCATGAACAAAAGCACAAATTCAACATGCACTTGAGTTGGATCATAAAAATAGACCATCAAGGCATAATTCTTTAACAGATGATCACCATGAAATCTAACAGTTGCAAATTTAATAAAATCACATAATGGGATTGGTTAGTGCTCACCGCTTCAACATCAATTTTATACACAACAAGCTTGCGTCTTTCCCTGCAGCTAGTTCTGTAGGCGACCACAACATGAGCCATAGCCAAAGTAAGAGAAGACAAGAACAGAGCCTCCACTGTAGAACCCTCCTTAACCCTAAACACCGGATCAGGCCAAAACATGGCGATTGCCTTGACCAACACGTACCCCGCTGACGCCCCAGCGCAGACGCATGTCACGCCCAAGTACGGCTCCCAGCCGTTACAGCACAAGTAAGAACCTGCATCACAAAACCCAAGATTCCCTCAGCTGCATTTCATCAAACACCTTCAGATCACCCCTCGTCAGCTTCACTACTTACAGAGAATGAGGAGGGATCTGGTTAAGGAAACCAGGGGCAGGTCGACAAGGGAATCCCGGAATCGGAATGCTCTGAGTTGAGATGAGAATGATGGAGAGGAGGAAGCCGGGCCGTTGACGGCGACAAGGAGGGTGTAAGGGAGGAGGAGGTCAACGAGGACGACGAGGAGCGGTGGAGCGCATACTAGGAGAAGAGAGGCAAGCATGTTGGTGATGAAGAAGAGGGTTTTCGCTACTCTCCACGCGCGGCAGCATAGCACTTCATTGGTTGAAGCCATGGGGCTTCGTTTTCTCTGCGTCGTCGGAGACAGGAGTTCGACCTGGAACAAGTGAGCATGGAGAGAAAAGAGAAGGTTTTTAGGGTAATGGCAGAAGAGAGAGACGATAAATGGAAGAGCTGGCCGGCTGCAGAGGACTGTTGTATTTTATTATTGCTATTATTATTATTATTATTTATTTTATTTTTATTTTTTAGCATGCCCCATATAAGTCCCTATTAATTACTACTATTAAAAATGTGCATTAATTTTACCAAATTTTTTTAAGAGAATTTTGATTAAGTATATAATGTCTTATCTAAATATATGATTTTTTTTTAATCAGATATAAAGAATTTCATGTAGATATAAATATATATGAAAATTTAATGTTTATTATATAACAACAACATTTAGCCTTTATCCAAATAATGTTGGTGCCATTTTAATTATAAATAGAAAATTTATTTTATGTGATATTTGTTATTCAAATTAAATATATTTATTCTCAAATAAAATATAAATTTTTAAAGCATAATATTTTAATCATATATAACATTTTTTTTTAGTTCTTAAAAATCTTTTTATTTAACAGATCCTTTTTATATATAGTATTGAATTTGTCTAATTTAATTAGGACAGTTAATGTGGTGCCATTTTTGTTATAAATTTACTTGGAGTAAAATATTGTTTATTTTAGAATTTCGAAATGATATTTATGTTTATGATGATACATCAATAAATCTGAGTATTTATGAGGATTTCATCAATAAAATCTTTTTTTAATGCTTATATAAATTGCACATCAATAAAATCTTTTCTTAAATGTTTATCTAAATAAAATCTTTTATTAAATGTTTATCTCAATGACACTTCTTGCAAATTAATGTTTATGAATTTCGCTCATGGATCGGAAAATTTATTACGTGTGGAGTCTAGACGCCATCTAGACTCCAATCACCTATAGTTACATGAATTTTTTCTCTCTTTTGTACACAGGATGTGTACCAAATAGAAAAAATACACGTGTCTTTACGTGATTGGAGTCTGGACAAAAAGTTACACCCAGACTTCGTACATAATAATTTCCATGGATAGCCAATATGGCAACTCGGGGTGGTGCTCTGCTCTGTTGCCTATCATCTTTCTCAATTTGTCGGAAAAAAAAAAATTATTTCTATGTCCTCCTAAATTTTCAGTAATCTTTATGCTCTTTGTTCATTGACTCTTATGTTTATAGGGTTTGCAAATTTTATCTACGGCTACGATTTTTAGTGACTTGATGATCTTGAATTGTTATTTTACTATTCTCACTGTTAAAAAATGTGGTCTTTCACAGCACTTGTTATCTTGACAAATTTATCCTATTTTAATTATATTTTATAATTAATGAATGCGCTAATTTCCTTAATTTTCCTTAAAAAGTTAATTCATTTAAATCTAGATTATTAAAAAAATTAAAATCTTCCTATCGATCTTTATTCATCAAATGTAAAGTCAAAATATTATATTTGAATCTTAAGTATTTTATTTTCATTAATTTCCAATGATATGATCAAATATGCATGAATTTATGTCGCTCACCTTATCTATTTCTATGGAACATTTGAGCAAAGTAAGACACACACAACATATATGCAAGCTTCAAATCTAAAACATCTTGATTGATAGCCAAAACTTCTAACCAATTAGGCGTGTCAAAATTGGGTTGCAAGTCGGGTTCAGGTCGAACCAATTATTGACCCGCTATTGTTTGACCTGACCAGAACTTGACCCATTTTTGCAAACCGATTAGAAATCTCAACCTTGACCTGACCTGTCAGGTTACCGGATTGACCTGAACTGACCCGATTAGGCGGATTAGCCCAGGTTGCCAGAGCATCGCGCAAAGCATAGGTGTGGCTAGCCAAGTCAAGGAGCGAAGCGTCACGCACTGCGTAGAAGCGACTAAGAGAGGCAAGACACACATGAGCGACTGAGGGAGGAAAGACACGTGGGAGCGCTGAGCAAGGCGAGACGTGCGGGGCAAGGGTCAAGCCGCGAAGGTGCGGGGCCTGGAGGCAGTAGGCAGCCATGGTGTGACGCTCGGGGCGAGGGTAGAGTGCGTGAGTTGGGCACGTGGTGTTTATGCCAGATGGGCACGTAGCGGGTCTAAATTGGGTTTGCAGGTTGACCCGAACCCAACCTGAAATTTGAAACATGTTGAAAATCAGGACCAGAACTCGATCCGTTCTTAAAACAAATTGACCCCAACACAAAAAGTTCGGGTTGGGTTCGAGTTGGGTCGTGTCAATTTTTGAATAAATTGATCAGTTTTGTGCTCTTCTTGATATGATAATTAGTAGCTTATACATATGCATTTAAAAGCCCCAAAAAATGCATTGATTTCGACTATTGCTTTTGCTTAGCTTTTTCGCAATATTTCAGATAAGAGCTGCTAATTTTATATCATGAAAAATAGCTATGGGAATAGGCCGTTATCAAACAGCTAATTGGTGAGAGGTGAATTTCTGAGTCTAACAGCAAAGGATAATCAGCCAAACGGCTTAGTGCGCGGTCGCCGGGCCAGAGTTAAAAGAGTCCGTGGGAAGATTATATTCTTTGTGCCACACAAATGGAAAGGCAGCCAGCGATGAAGTAATTGATAAAATACTTTGTGAAGAAAACTCGGTCAAGCTTCTTAGGCTTTCTTTGGGACGGTTGTCTTTCTGCTTCGTAAAACAATTTTTTAATACAAAATTTTAATTTTTTATTAAAAAACTGCTTTAAGAAGTAATAAAAAAACTGTCTCAAACGAAGCCTTCGTTTGTAGAGAACAAGAAGGAAGCCGGCTTGGCTTTTTGGCCAAGTTGAAAGAATGGGGTATGATTGATTTCAGCAAACTATAAAATACAAGTCGGTGAAGCTAGGCTAGGAGAGAACTAGTATGGACACTTTTCAATAATGGAAGGGCAAAAATCTTATCCCTTCGTTATCCTACCATATGCAACAACAGGAATGAGAAATATTCAAATATATTTCTGATGAGGGCCAAAATAGCCTCTAAAATTTATACAAAGCCCGAATTCTAAAGCCCTTACGATCTACCGCTTGAAGTCCTTATCATGCAGAATTTAAATACTCCAAAAATGTTAGGCCTTGAATCAGTTGAACTAGCTCAAACTAGCTAGGCTAACTCAAACCAAACTAGCTATTCAATGCCCCCTATTTACTCATCTCTGAAGACTATCATCTAACTACAAACTATATGAGGCGGTAACCCCCATCACCAACACCATTTTTGGCATTTAAAGGAAACCTAAATTGACTTCTTTATATCTCCTTATGTGATGTTTATTGCATGAGGAGGAAGAAGAATCTTCTTGTTCTTGGATGAGAGAGAGAGAGAGGGGGAGAGGGAAGAGAGGCAGAAAGCTAACATGAATGTATATTCATTTTATTCATTAGGCATATTAGAGGACATCTAATTGCAACAATCTACAATGCCTATTTATAAGCGTTAACATAGGTGTGATGTCATGCAAAGCAATATAACTAAAACCTGGACCAATGCACTAGCAATCTCCACCTTGGTTCAAATTCAGAAGATCTTTCTGGTCAAGAAGACAAAAAAATAGTGCTCCGACCCGCGGCCCAATGTCCGCCAATCCTCACAGCACCAAGCTATTTTTAACACCCCCACAAGCCCCGAGATGCCAACTTAAGCCTCATGCTTCCAGCGGCCCTGCCTCGCCCATTCTGCAAGCATGCAATCGACCATCCTACGTGCCCTTCGCATCCAATGTGTGACCTGGCTTGTCTATGCCTGAGACCTCTCTGTGTGGCCACATTGCGCCTATCATGGCTGTGCTTTGGGCCCTGCGCCTTGCCGCACAAGCATCCCGCCTCCAGCTCGTAACCGACCTATATGATTTCCCGATCCAGCCTGCCTTCCTCTGTCGAACCTACACGTGATCGAGTAGCCCGACTACACGTCATCTTTATGTGGTTCCTAATCGTGACACTTGTGTCTGCATGACTCGCGACCTCTTGCACACAGGACACATGCCTGAGCCACGCTAGTGTTTCGTCCCGCTTGAGATTACCACAACACTTATTATCGCTCCAAACCCGCACTTGTACCGAGTCATGACTCCCTCTAATCTTGCTCGCAAATGGCAACCGCACCGCCTACTTCCATGCGACCTGTCACCCGCCTACCCTCTCTTTGTGGACTACAAGAACCTTTCTCCTTCCTCGAGACCACCTCAACGAGGCTCTAATAACATTTGTTATGTTTCTCACGTGAAGAAGAAGAAGAAGAGTCTTCTTATTTTTGGATGAGAGAGAGGGAGAGGGAAGAGAGGGAGAAAGCTAACATAAATTTATATTCCTTTTATTCATTAGGCATATTACACGACATCTCATTGCAATAATCTACAATACCTATTTATAAGTTTTAACATACGTGTGATACCATGCAAAATAATATAACTAAAATCTAGATCAATACACTAACACCTTAGCATAAGGTGTATCAATGACGGCAAAAACTCACTACTACATAACACATTTGATAAGTTTTTAATTAAGTTTCTAAAATTCTTATGATCTCCATTCACACTGTAGAAACTGAGAATCAAGAATTTCTCATCGCGAGCATCGCCGGAGAGAAAGAAGACGAACAGAGAAATGAGGAGAAAATGAATTGTATTTTCATATCTGTCACTGGTACAGGAGAGATAATTATATAGGTGCATAGATTAGGGAACTAGGTACACGTGTCCTATTCTAAGTGGATAAAGCTAAACAGCTAAGTAATTACATGGGATTAACTAATGAAATCGCAGATTAACTTCTCTAATATCCCCTGTCAAACGGATTGTTCATCTTGAACGGTCAGTTTGGAGCGAAGTTCCTTGAAGCGTGGAGTAGAGAGAGGCTTGGTTAGGAGATCTGCGAGCTGATACGTGGTGCTGATGGGAAGAAGACGAAGGGCCTGGTTCTGAATGTGATCGCGAAGGAAGCGGTGATCAATCTCAATGTGCTTCGTCCGTGCGTGGAATACGGGATTATGAGCGAGAGCGATGGCCGACATGTTGTCGCAGAACAGATCAACGGGCTGAGAGTGAGGAATA